TGCAAGAACTGTCCAGAGCAAAAAAGCGATGCCCCTTGAATACTTAATCAGTGTCTTACACCTAATATTTTAGAATTTTTAAAATGTATTCTCATGATCAAAAAATAGAATCTCACTTTTTAAATGTACAACAAAATAACTGAGCGTCTCAAAGACCAGTTAGGTGCCCAACTCCCATGGAATTTTATGGTAGTTAGGCACCCAACTGCGTTTTGCCTTCGAAAACCTCCCAAGTGTCTAAGGATAGGCCAAATGTCTAGTGCTTTAGGAGTGCCTGATGAAGGCATGGGTGACCACAATAGCCTAAAAAACTAATACATTTATAACAACCCTAGGAAGAAAGAAGAAGAAAAAAAAATCAACCATGCTAATTGGCTTTGCTCTCAGTACTAATTTGCTAAAAACAAACACACCAGTTACAAGTTGTAGATCCATTCAAACTATTTTCTGTGAGGTTGCTCTAAAAAGATTATGCACTTGTGAGGGCTTGGAGAAAATAAGGAAAGTTTTAGTCTTTATTTTTAAAATATAGTATAACAACAGGGGCACAAGGCAAGTCTAGAATTAACATGATAGCATACGGAGCTGCTTGATTAGAATGGACTGAGTTATGCAAGCAGCACTTTCAGCCCAAGGCAGGAAGTCTCAGATTGTCTGTAACCGCCCTTTTGGTTATTTGAGAACAGCCTTACATTAGCTGCAGCCATCCTTCCTAAATCAATAGTCCTCAGTGTTCCAAAACCTTTCCAGGACTGCCACCCCACCCCAATATAGGTGGGTCTAGCCCAGAACATGCATCTCCTAGCCTGTTATTGACTTCCAATAAAAGCACTGTGTCTCCAACACCTTTGATTGTAAGGCAATATGAAGTGAATTTTGTACACACTTTTCACTTCAGTGAGCAAGTCTTTTCCAGTCTGCATCTCTGGACTTATCAGATCCAATACAAGTGGGATACAGCAAGATTATTTCATTTACACAACTACAGTTTTAGCTTTATTTGTGGCTGGTAATTTGAAGACATTAAGTGTAAAGAAAACAACACTGGCAAAAAGTCTAGAGTTCTTGTACATACTGATAGGCTTTGAAATTGTGGGCTTTTCTGAGAAAAAGACGTGGGAGTCACCATGGACAGCTCAATGAAGATTTCTGCCTACACAGCATTAGCATTCAAAGTAAATAGGATGCTTGGGTATATTCACAATCGGATTAAGAAATTCCACAAACAACAAATGGCACATTCTGTCTGGAATACTGTATCTGATTTTGATTACTTCAAAACAACAGATCAGAGTCTAGAGAGGGGGAAATGTATATGGTTATAGGTATAGGACAGGGGCGGGCAAACTTTTTGGCCTGAGGGCCAAATCGGGTTTCAGAAATTGTATGGAGGGCCAGTTAGGGGAGGCTGTGCCCCCTCCATCCGCCCCCCCCCCCCCCCCGTGCTTCTTGCCCCGACACCCCCCTGGAACTCCTGCCCAATCCAACCCACACCCTCACCCCGTTCCCTGACGGCCCCCCACCTCTGCCCCATCCACACACACCCCAACTCCCTGTCCCCGATCGCCCCCCAGAACCCCTGCCCCTGACTGCCCCCCACCGCCCCATTCAAACTGCCCCTCCATTCCCCACCCTCTGACCGCCCTGACCCCATCCACACTCCTGCCCACCACCCCAAACTTCCCTGCCCTCTATCCAACCCCCCCTGCTCCCTGCCCTCTTACCATGCAGCACAGAGCACCAGTGGCTGGCAGCGCTACAGCCGTGCCGCCCAGAGCATTGCGCCAGTGTAGTGCAGTAAATTGCTCTCCTTAACTGCTACCATTCTCACGCGGAGCAGTTTAATACACGACACCAGAAGCATGGCACGCTGAGGCTGCGGGAGAGGGGGGGAACAGGGGGGGCGGGGGCTAGCCTCCCGGGTCAGGAGCTCAGGGGCCGGGCAAGAGGGTCCTGCGGACCGTAGTTTGCCCACCTCTGGTATAGGAGAACCTTTGTGTTATCACCTTCAAAAGGTAGGGTTATTTGACCTGAAGAGGAGACAAGGGGAGTTAAGGTTTGTCTACATGGGGGATGTTTTCACTAGTGTAGCTACACCAGCACAAACTCCCTGAAGTAGACATACTGCATCAATGTAAGAAGTGGCTTGCAACAGTGCAACATACCGCAGTGAACGTCATAACTTCCTAAGAAACATGAGGGATTGGCCACTGACAGAGGTGAGAGGTCATACTAGATGGACCAATGGTCTTATCCAATATGGATCACTCCGTTTCACGAATTTCTAAAAGACTACAATGATCAGACGCTCACTCCATCAGTGTTTAGGGTCAAATTTCACAACCTGCAAGAGTATGTAGAAAGTCTGAATCTCTATAGAGCATTTGTAATTAGAAATTCTATTGACTACACTTTACACTTAGTAAAAAGACTGGATATAAATCAAATCATCTGCCAACTAATTTGTTAGTTAGTTTTAAAACAGCAATTCTCCTATGCAGAAAACTTATGACTACAGAAATGTTAATACAAGATTTCTGTTGTTTTTACTATTTAAAGCATAAGCTCCTACTACACTATAAAACCAATCTCAACAGGAGAGCCCAGTTACAACATGGCACTGAACTGTGTTGGTGGGATTGACCACACGATTTGATCCAGCCATGTTTTAACTGTGTTTGGGAAATACTGTCTCATAAGGTGGTCTCCCAACGTTATTGTTTCATAAAACAATTTGTCTGAAAGTTGAAGTTATGATCCAAACAAGCAAAACCAAGAAGATTCAAAGTTAGGACTACAACTTTACCCTTTTTATCTCAGTTCAAAAATGGCCAACCACATTCAAGAATGAACTTAATGCTAAACAGTAGGGACCTGGCTCAACCTATGCCTTGCTACAGCTCCTCTCTAGTGTCAATATTTGCTGAGAGAGGAGAGAGCTCTGCCATGACACCCATGAATAAGAATACAAATGGACTGTACTTTTAGATAAACAGCAGCTACAAGAAGTGAACAGTAATGACCTTTCAAATGTCTATATCTTGGCTAACATTTTAATGAGTCACTTCTTAGCGTATGCGTAACGTGCCTCAGGTGGCACATGACCAGGACTTGTCACTGAATTTGGTCCACTGGTTGGATCATTAGCTTCCCCAGCTGACCAAATTCCATTTAAAAAAGCCACTGACCTCATTTTTAATACAACCACTACCCAAACAGAACTGGGAAACCAGGGAATGGGGATTGAGGGGTCAAGGAAGAGAGAATCCTTTAAGTGATCAAATGGAATTTAGGGACTCTAGTAGGAAAAGAAAGCATGGAAACTTTGAATCACACTGCAGTAGCGCATGGAGATCTTTCAACACTAACAGTTACATATTTGCTACTGAAGTTTTCCAAGGTTATAAATTATTAACTCCCAATCCATATAATGCCAATCTCATCAAGAAGACCCACCAACATGAACTGAGTGACTGAAGTTTCCCCTTGTTCAATCACAGCCAACATCATTTACTAAAAAGTTAGCAGTGAAGACTGCTGTATAATCCACATGCACAATTTAACACAACAAGGGTTCTTCCATCAAGAACTTGAATTTCAGGTCAGCTTCAAGGCCCCAAGATGGAGGTAAAATGAACTTTTCTCAATTCTTGGCCACATTAGCAACCCACATACAATAAAAACTAATTTTGACCCAGATGTATTCCTCTAAAACAACCTCAACAATGTTCAGTTTTCTATAAAAGCATGCTTCGTCTTATTAGACAGTAGATGATTTTCAGCTAGAACAAAATTCTTGCTCATTAAAACAAAACTTCCCAATACGTCTTCCTACATCTACATGCAAAGCCCAAATTCCTGTGACAAAACAAATGCAATATACAAACTGATCTGTTACTACCCAACTGGGGCTTTTTAGTCATCTGTACCTGTAACTACAGTACGTACGAAATGTTCAGACAACCGAGAACACTATCAACTTGAAAAATCACTTAAATAGTCTCCGAAATATTTGCTACAACAACTAATCACTTTGTAAAATAACACAATCCAACTCCCAGCTGCTAATGAAGGTCCACTACAACATGAAGTTGTGTATGGGATAAGGGAACGAGGGGAGCAAACCGCTCCTGAATGCAGTGAGGGGGCAGAAGCAGGCCAGCTACACAGTCCCCCTTCCTGGAAACGGTAGTAGAAACACAATTTACGAGCGCAACCTGCACACAAACGTTGAGCAGCAGAGTCCTCACCTAGAAGACGACACATGAACCATCCCCTTGTGCAATGCTACTCCTCCCCGCCTCCCCCCAAGCAGACCATTACAAGGACCCCCCCCCCATGCATCCACTGAGAAGGAGAAGCGTGCCCCCCCCCCCAACCCGCTCTGGAGGCAGGGCCAGCCCAACCCACTGCACAGCCCGCCCCCCTGCCCTCCAACCGCCTGAGCCCCTCCCTGGCCCTCTTCTTCCACTGGTGGCCCTATTGCATCACCATGATCCTCCCGGCGCCTTGCTCCCTGCTCCAATTACGGGCCGCTCACGCGCACCTTTCCCCTCGCCCCGCGCCTGGGTCCCCCCGCGGGCCCCGCCCCCCGCCGGGCCCCTCGCGGCCCCCGTACCTGGCCGCAGCGGCTCGGTGATGCTCAGCACCAGGAGGAAGAGGAGGAGGAAGGTGCCGCTGTCCGCTTTGGGCACCATTTATCCTCCGTTCATCCTCCCCCAGCGCAGCACCATAAACCCGGGGGAAGGAGGCGGGAGGAGGAGGAGGAGGAGGAGCCGCCGCCGGGCCGCTCGGGCCCCCGTCCGCACCGAGCCCGCCCCCGCTGGAAGCCGGCGGCTCCCGCTGTGGCTGCGGCGGCTCGGCCTGGCGCCCCGGCCGGGAGGAGGCAGGAGACTGGCTGGCGGGGGCGGCCGGAAGGTCAGGAACAGGCTCCGTGCGCCGAGGGCCGCTCGCCTGGCTCTAGCTCCGCTCAAGATGGCGGCGGCGGCGGCACACTCCTCCCCCCCCCCCACAACAAAGACCGACAGCCAATCAGCGCCGGGGGGCGGGGCTTCCGCGTGGGGAATCGGCCGATGCGCCGCCTGAGTAAGGTGAGGCGAGCGGCTCTGGGCGCGTGGGTGGCGGCGTTGACCAGCGTGAGGGGGACCCAGGGGTTAAAAGCGGGGGCGGGTGGGGGGGGGGGGCTGTAGGACTCTCTGTCTTCACCAGAGCTCCAGCCATTACTACCCCTGGTGGCATTGCAACAGGGGGAAGCTTAGGGGAAAGAAGTCTGCTGCGGACACAACCTAGGAAACTGACCAGGAGCTGACGCTAGTGTTCAGCCGGGGGGGGCTCTGTCAATGAATACTGCAAACAGGGAGAGGACTGGGGAATAGAGGGGACAGCACCATTTGCAGTATCAGTCCAGATGCATGATTGAGACTTGCGTCCATCGAGTGCCTGTATATTATTACCTACATCCTGGCTCCCTTCCTCACATTAAGAATCCAAGATTGAGGGCTTGGCTACCCTTGCGAGTTACAGTGCGATAAAGGAGCTCCGGGCGCACGAGCTCACTCCCCGACCACCCTGGCAAGGCACCAAGAGCGCTCTGACTCCGCGGCTACAGCGCTGCTGGTACTCCACCTCGGCGAGAAGATTAACGCTCGTTGCGCCTTGGCTGAAACGCCCGGGCGTCAGTGTGGACGAGGTGTTGCATTACTGCGCTCTGGTCAGCCTCCGGAAACGTCCCATAATCCCCTTAAGTCAAGTGGCCACTCTTCTCATTGTTTTGGAATCGCTGCAGGAATGCGGATATGCCCTTTGAAAGCTCCGTTTCTGACAACCGGCTGCTTATCTGCTCCGAGACAAAGCAACCATTACTGGGGAATCCTGTGTGTGAGAGAGAGGGGGAGGGGGTCTGCTGCTGTGTGAACTTATGAGACAGCATGCTGACATGCTCTCAGCCCCCCCCCAAAAAAATCCACTCTCTCTCCCCCCACATACACACAACACACTCCCTGTCACACTCCACCCCACCCCATTTGTAAAGCACGTTGCAGTCACTTGCATGCTGGGATAGCTGCCCACAATGCACCGCTTCCAATGCCGCTGCAAGTGCCGCAAATGTGGCCACGCCAGTGCGCTTGAAGCTGTCAGTGTGGACAGACTGCAGTGCTTTCCCTATTGTGCTCTCTGAAGGCTGGTTTAACTCAAAGCGCTCTACATCTACAAGTGTAACCATGCCCTCAATCTACACTGAGTGCAAATCTTTGATTGGCTATCACCAGTACTAGAGCCAACCTTGTCCTCCCCCTTATATTTTAAATGAATGGTCTTTGAAGTGGTGCGCAGACCCCGCCCCCCAAACATTTCAAATGGGATGCTTTGTACACAACAGTGTTTAAAAATTAAAAGGACAATGAAATGCAGCTGTGTCAGGCCCAGGATATTAGTGAGATAGCACCTCATCTCTCTCAGGACAATGAAAGTCGCTCTAAAACTAAAAATCTGCTAATAAGACTTGTAGCTAGTAGCTATCTGATTTAAAATCAGCTGGGGAGTATGTAGTTTCTTTTTCACTATGATTTTTAATATAGGTTCTATTAGATCAGTGACTTAGTGAAGTAAGCTTTGAGGTGGTAAACAATCATTTCATAGTTAGTCCCTCAGTAACCCTTCTGTAGGTCCAAATCCAGCCCAAGTACATCGGAGTGCTGGGGAACTCCCTGGGCCCAAAAGAGGGACGTAGTCTTCTCCATCAGCCATGGAGAAGGACTCATTATTATTATTATTTGTATTGTGGTATCACCTAGTAGTCCCAATCAGGTCCCCTTTGTGCTAGGCACTATCCAAACACAACACTAAGAGCTTACAGTCTAGCTCATCTCTCTATCTAGGCATTTATGTCATGCTCATCACCATGGTATCTGAGTGCCTAGCTTTGTTACTATGTCATAGTACAAGGCATGAATGCCTAGAAAGATCTGTTGTGGTACTGGTAGCAGCAGATCCTCCAGACTAGCGCTCCAGTCTTGCCCCTCACGCAGCCAACCCCAATTTCCACCTGTGCAGCAGCATGCAGGCAATTCCTGCTGAGGTACTATCTACGGAAGGCATTTACACTCTCTGCAAGGTCTCCCCTGCACAGTGGTTCCAGTATCCACCAAAGAGTTAAAGTTGCTGCAATACAGCGTGCTGCAGTTTACTGATCAAATATCCCCTGAATTACCTTTGTATGTAAACACTGACAATCACAAATTGCACTGAAGACACAGAGCACAGTCAGCTGTTCAGAAGCCCCCAGTGCTGGAAGAATACACATCTGAAAGCAAGGTCCCACCTTGTATGGCTTTTTTCATGCAAAAGATAGTATTTTTAAAAAATAATTGAATTCAATGAAATGTTAACTCCAGATAGGGGCCAGCTTGTGATATAGGGGCCAGCCATCACTCACAGTGAACACTACCATACACTACAAGCCATCTGTAGTCCTTATGAAATAAACAGTGAATCACTTTGAGTAAGGGAATCACAGTCTGTCCCCATGATAGTGATGATGAAAGGTACAAACCTGACAATCATCGAGATTTAAGTTCTTTCTAGAGAATAGAAAAGTACAGGCAGCAGCAGCAGTTCAACCTTCCTCGCCAATAATCTCAAGCCAGACTTGGAAGTAGAGAGGCCGAGGAATAGGGCACCAGGCTAGGAGTCAAGAGATCTGGTTTTTATTCTCCACTCTACCAATGACTTACCATGTGACTTTGGGCAAGTAAGCATTACCCCTCTGGGCCTCAGTTTCTCAGTCAGCAAAATGGAAACAAGAATTCCCACTTTTGTAAAGGGCTGGTTTCATGACACAATGTACATGCTAAATATTGTTATGGAAAAGGTTGGTGCTAAGGCATTGGACTAAGGTGCACCCAGATAGCGCAAGCAGGGGTCTGGTCATGGTAGGGCAATGAAGTGTTCCAGGACGGTTAGAGCAGAACACAGTTTTCCGAGGTGGATCAACAGAGATGGAAGCAGCTGTTCCTGGCTAGTGGTGACTGACCTGAGGTTTGAGGAGTTTCCTGTCCAGTCTTTATGATCACTTATGAATATGTTGAAAATAAATCAATCACAGGAAAGATACCTGACTCCACAATCCAAATTTCTCTCTCAGTGGAAACTGACTTGCTGCTACGCCCTGAAATTGACTATCACTTGGCCAATTGGCAACAATATTATTACTGTCTAACCTCTCTAAGGTATTCCTAGGGAGACCATCACCATGCTGTCTGAGCTACAATATGGGAGTGAATGACTCCATGTTCTCACATGCCTCTGCTTATACTGCCAACTCCCCAAGATAATTTTTCAGCATCGCAGAAATCATGCTAATAATTATTACAGCAATCAAGTATCCAACACTGCCACGTAATGCATTAGTTTCACAGCATGTGTAGACTCAATCATTACAAAAAGCATTACATTTTAGAGCAAAATCATATAAATCAGTTTGTTTTGTCATACCTGCGGTGACAGTTCATCCCAGGTGTCAAAGCCCATCCAGGAGGGAGAAAAGAGGAAAATATACAGGAAACTAATTATGCAATTCAGAGCATCTTGGAAATTAGTAAAGCTGGTAAGGAAGGAGGCTGGAATGCCTGGTTGCAGCCATACTTCCTGCAGTATCACAAATTGCAAACCTATAAAGCTGGGAGAGGAGAGTGAGTTTTAGTTTCAGCAGGTTATTATGAATTAATTCTTTCCATTAAGATGTGTGCACATTATAAATGAGTAACCATGTGATCCTGATATAGAGAAGCAGTAACCACCTAATATTTAAGCAGAAGCTAGTTTCCCTTTTAAGCCTAATTATTCAAACTGACCCCCCACTCTGCCAAAATAAACCATTGTCTTGAAACTTTGCATGCCATGTCTCAGCCCTGCTTTGGGTTTCTCTAAGATGTTGGGGGGGGGGGGGGGTGAAGATCAGAAAAGGCATTTTAAAATTATAATATCTAAAAATTGACTTCAAAGTTCACTACCTGGCAGCCTGATGCTTGGGGGTTTTAAAGATGTGGCATATTTGTAAGGAAAGTAATAGCGGTTTGCAGAATAGCACAGTCCGTCCATGCAAACCCACTTTCAGCCTTAACTCCTTTCTAATGAAGCTTTCTGTGTTTGTTCTCTTTCTTCACTCCATCCTACTTCTTTGGTTTGTTACTGTCACTGCTTGCATCACATCTGTAATCATACTGCATGCTCCTTGAGGCAGAAACCCAGTGTTTGCCTTTGTTTTGCAAGATGCCTCACGCTACGGGTCCTGTCTAAAAAAAGAAAAATAACTATGCTTTTTATACAGCACCTTCCAGAACCCACACTAAGGTCATTCCTGAGCTCTGTTTCTTAACAGTTTAAATGCCTGAGGGCTTGTGTGACCTGTTGGGGATTAGTCTGTTAATAATTTGTTTAGAGTTAAGGGCCAGTGAATACAGGATTGTCTCTTTGGTTCATAAGAGCAGGTGAAATCCTGGCCCCACTGAAGTCAACAGAAGTTTTGCCATTGATTTTGATGGGGCCAGAATTTCACCTTATGTGTATACTGTTCCAATATATTTGTATACATCTATTGGAACAGAACAGTATCTTTTTATTCACCCTCTGACTCATTAAGCCTAGTTTATAAGCAATATGGGAGAGACTGATCTCAAATAGTGAGCTGCTCTTAATAACATGCTACAATTTGGCAGGTAGATATAAAGTGATCAGGGAGGTTACTCCTTTTCCCAGAGTAGCTTCTGTCACCTAAGTAAGTAGAAGTCAGTAGTAACATAAACAAGTGCAAATCACTCCGTTGGTAAAAGGCTGGTTTCTGCTGGCAGGAGCTGGCCATAGCCTAACCCAAGAGACTGTTTTGCCCCCAACTGCCATTCTCAGAAACTTCTAAAACTCCAGGTTTGGCCAGCCTTTTCCAGTGCTTGGCAGCCCTTTAGGAGAAAGAGCTACCCTTAGAGATCACCCCCATTAGGTATCACTACTGAGCAAAGTATGGTTAACCCTTCCCCGGCAGTTGGACAGGCTTCCCCTTCTGCTTTCCCAAGCAGCAAGAGAGCAAATCAGTGAC